GATCATAAGAGATTTGGTTTGCATATCTAACTTCTTATATTATAAAAATAAATATATAAAAATATTATTTTATATAAAATAATATTAATTATAATAATATAACGTCAAAATAAATTTTTTAAATGCTACATCCCATTCCAATATGTGTGCTCTAATAAATCTTGGGGTTTAAAGCCAACTGTCGTACCTCTACTTTAATATTTTATTCGTTCTTGTCCCTCTACTAAAGTTATGTTTGTTGTTGTCTCTCTACTCTCCAAAGAGCCAAAACGTTGTCCCTCTACTTGGCTTTTTTTGTTTGTTGTCGTCCCTCCCCTAACACCGTCCATGTTGCCGTCACTACTGACTGTTAAGTCCCAAACAATCAGCAGTTAAACCCATTTTTTTTTTCACATATGCTACCAGTTGTGATGCCACCTGTGCAAGAAATAGGGACCACTTTGCCAAGTTGCTTTCAATTTTTTTTTTTGGTTGCTGGAATGTGGGATGCCAACAAAAAAACATGTGAAAAAAGTACGACAAACGGGAAAATAAGAAGAAAAGGGGAAGAAGGCAATATACTTTCAATTTTCTCGCTTGGCTATTCATCACAGGACCAGTCCATTGGGTAACATATATTGTTTAGCCTTGTTTTATCTTTATTACCCAAAACGTGAAAACCTCAAGATACATAATTCAAGAATACAAGAATCTTTGAAAAGGGGAAGGCATTGTGTTTTGAGTAAAATTGCTGAGGCTTTTTAAGAGGTAATAATCAATTAGTAATCTATGATTAAAGATTGATTAAATATAATGTTATGGTGTTAATTATTTATTTGGTGTTGTCCTCCACTTTGCAGAATGAAATAGATATTATTCCTTTGTTCTTTTGTTCTTTTCTAATCTGTGGTCCCTAATTTTTGCAGGTGAAATGGTTGATTGTGTTGAATATGGTATATTCTTGAATTATGGGGGCAGATTCATTAGGGACCCAACACTTCGGTATGTCGGAGGTAGTTTTCATAGTATATGGCTCAAACCTAGTAGTTTTGAACCCTGTATTTTTAGAGAGAAATTGCAATGCTTGCGTATTGACATAGATGGCATGAGAGATTTTGTGTGGTATAAAAATCCTGCAAAGAAGCTTGATAATGGCCTTATGTTAATTATTTCTGATGATTCAATTGTTGACATGTTTGAACTACTAATGTATCATGGGTATTTAGATGTCTACGTTGAACATGAATCTGAAATTGAGAAACAAGTGACAAAAGGTGGGCCTTTCATGGGAATAATGGTTCAGTAAATGATGTTTTAATGGTTGGTGAGACAGTGGCATGTCATGTAAATGTGCATACATCTGGGGTTGATTTGGAATGGGAAGATGGTTTTGGTTGTGTTAGCCAAGAGATTCAAACACCAATTGTAGGACAAAATACTAGAAATTGTGCACAAGGAAGAATTGAAGAAGATGTGAACGGTGGCGATGAGTATATTGATGTTCCTTGGTTAACCAACAATGAGGATGAGGAGTGGCAAGCAGCAAGGACTCAATACAAGGATAGTGTTAAGTTATATGGAGATGATGCTGATATAGATAGGGCTTTATTTGATCCAACTGAAGCATTTGTTGATGATGGCCTCAGTGACTCAATTGATTCTAATGATGAGGTCAGTTTTGTTCCAACTAGTGATGATAGTGAGGCAGAGGAAGCAAGAAGAAGGCAATCACTGCACAAGGTGTTTGATGACTCCACTGTCAATCTAGAGTTTGAAGTAGGAATGATTTTTTTGAGTAGGAAGCAGTTTAAAGATGTTGTTCTAGCACACTCTATTGATGTGAAAATGGAAACAATCTTGAAGAAGAATGATAAAAAAAGAGTTAGGGCTGTATGTGCAGATAACAGATGCAATTGGGCTTTGTTACTGTCCATTGATGGTAGGACAAAAAGCTGGATGATAAAAACTTACAAAGATGAGCATACATGTGGTTTGAGTTGTAATAACAAGAGGGTTAAATAAAAAATTTTAGCCAGACACTTCATTAAGATAAGGGGCATTTTAGCTACTACACTTTCCCAAATCAATGTCCAAGAAGCAATTCATGAGGAACTCTATCTTGAGATCACAATAAGTCAAGCTACAAGGACAAAACTAATTATTGTTAGAGAGTTTCAAGGCAACTGTGAGCAAGAATATAAGAATTTATTTGATTACAGATTAGAGCTACTGAAGAAGAATCCCACTTCTACATTTGAGATTGATGCAAGGAAGCCTACACCAGATTCTAAACTTGTTTTTTTAGGCTTTTATGTCTGCTTTGCTACACTGAGAGAAGGGTTCATAGCTGGTTGTAGACCAATACTTGGTCTAGATGGTGCATTTTTAAAAGGTCCTTGCAAGGGTCAATTACTATTTGCAGTTGGAAGGGATGCAAATAATCAAATGTATCCAATTGCTTGGGCCATTGTGGAGGGTGAAAGCACAAGCATATGGACATGGTTCTTGGAGTTTTTGAATCATGATCTAAAAATTGGTGATGGAGAATATTATACTTTTGTATCGGATCAACAAAAGGTAAATTTTTATGTTTCATTGATGAATTATATACTTGTGCAAGCAATGATTAAAGAAAGTAATTTATCTTTTTCCATTTTGTAGGGGCTGATTAATGCTATCTAGAATTTGTTCCCAAAAGCACGTCGTAGAAGATGTGCTCGGTATATTTATGCAAATTTTAGAAAGGAACACAAGGGTAAGGCATTGCAAAGATGGTTTTGGATCACTACCAAGTCAACAAATGAAGCTGAATTTAAGAGGAATCTCGAGGGGCTCAATAAATTGAAGCTTACAGCTAAAGATTATGTGATGAAGCTGGACCCAAACTTCTGGTGCAAGGCATTTTTTGATACCTATGCAAGATGTGATGTAATTGATAATAACATGACTGAAGCTTTCAATGGTTTCATTCTAGATGCAAGGCATAAGGGTCCTCTCTCATTGCTAGAGGATCTTAGAAGAAAGTGCAGCAAAAGGAACATTGAAAAGTTGGAGTTTGTTGAGAAAAAATTCAAAGGTGATTTTGGTCCAAAGATTTGGGAGAAGATTGAAGACCACAGAGACAAAATGTCAAGATGCCATATAAAATCACAAGCAAGATGGCATTATGAAGTACAAGAACGACCATATTCCTTTCTAGTCAATCTTCAGGACCAAACTTGTAGTTGTAGAGTTTGGTAGCTCAATGGTATTCCCTGTAGACATGGAATGCTTGTCATCCAGCATAGGCATGAGAACTATGAAGATTATATGCACCCATGTTATAGAAAGCAAGCCCACATTGACACATACAAACATGAAATAATTCCTATTGATGGAATGCAATTGTGGGCTGATTCAGGGATGCCTGAAGTTGATCCTCCAATTCCAAAAAACACATCGGGAAGGCCTAAGAAGAAGAGGCATTTAGAAGAATGGGAAAACACTAGTGGATCAACCTTGAGTAGAAAGGGAAGGGTAATGACTTGTCAAGTATGCTTCAAAAAGGGTCACAATTCAAGATCATGTCCAAAAAATATCCAAAAAACTGCTATAAGTTCCAAACTATTTTTTCTTTATTATTTTCTAAATTTTTATTATGTGAAAAATTAATTTGAGTTGTGTGAATTATGTGATAGGTTGAAGATTCTTCAATAAATGCTCAAAATCAGGTTCCATTAGATGTCCAACCAGCTGTTAATGTTCAACCAAATTTTAATGTTTAAGCACTTCTTAGTGTTCAACAAGTTTTTGATGTCCAAGTTCCTATTATTGTTGAATCACATTCTGATATTCAACTTCCAGTAGGAGCT